ATAGATAGATAGATAGATAGATAGATAGATAGATAGATAGATAGATAGATAGATAATTTTACTATTGGAGGCGGGTCTAATAAAGTGCATATTTGGGATTTGGTGACACACCAGTCCTTTCATCCACTTTCATTTTGGTGTGATTTATTAAGGAATATTATCCTTTTTCTTTTCTTTTTAACATGTCCACTGGAATAAAAAAAATAAGTAATCCAGGGGATTTAGAAAGGAAAAAAAATGCTTCAATATCTCAAGGAGACATAGAAGAATAGGTTGGCATCAGTGAGGCTAATGTGTCTGAGATGACAGACCACTTGTCCTACCACAGTTTCTCTATGACTATCAGGATATAGATATTCAATTCATGGGTACATGTATCAACTAGACATGTAGGGAGGATTCTGATTTGGGAACGGGGGGATGGTGGTGGAGGTGGAAATTACAATTCCCCAGAGCAATATGATCAATGTAAAATTGTGTCAGCCTTCAGCAAACAGATGGCATCCTTCTCCTTCTTGATGGCATGAAACATATGGCTGTTGGCTCATGACATAGCATTAACAACTTGGATAACAATACATAGTTAATTAGATGCCACCAGGACCACTTGGTGAAGAATGAGTTACAGTTACTTTTGGAGTGAAGGGGTAAGAGATATTATACAGCCCTGAGTAGTCACCAGAAGAGGGGAGATGCAAACTTACGTACACACGAGGCTTCATGATAAATAAATAGTGAGGTCCACTGTGTCACAGATGTAAGATCCACATATTGACATCTAAAAAAAATACATATTTTAGGTTATGCAGCTGTGAATTCTGACTGCACAGCAAACTGTTGAGCTCTTAAGTTAGCATTAAGTGCCTGTGAAACCCAACAAAAGAAAGCATTTGACCCGCATAAACCAACAGCCGCAGGGGTTCCTATGGATTCCTCACCAGGAACAGCTGGGGCCTATTATTCCAGATGCGTCTCCATATCTTGATGACAGCCTAGACTGAAGGTAGCCTCGGGTGTGCGGACATACCGATTCTTTCCAGGGCCCTGAGTTCTGGGGTCTGGTTTGGGCTGTGACTGAAAGCACAATAAATAAAGCTGAAACTACTAGCTACGGGCCAAACTTTCTCATTTTTCGTGCATGTCAATCCTTTCCCAGTGCAAATGCATTCTTAATTTTTTTTTATCTGTGTCAAGTTACATGCATACCATATTGCTTATTCTACATTAGAAAACTGTTCAACAACTTCAGTGGTGGAAAAACAAAAAAGCTCTGAATTGAGTTTAGAATATGGGAAATCCTAAAATAGGACCGCTAAGATGGCAAAACAACATTTAAGCCAACATCCACAGGGGATGCGCCCAGAAGACTTGCCCTTTTTTTCTTCCTTTTTGGTCAAGGGCTCACCTATCCGTCGTCTACCATATACAGTGCACACTTCACAGAAGGAATGGGGTGCTTCTGTGGTACAGCATGGCATAGGGACATATGTAAAACAGCCATCACAAATGCCCCCTAACCCTCTTTTTCTCTATGGGGGCCCTGACAGAAATCTAACTCCTTAACTTCCAAGATGTTGGCAGATATGTTTCCCTATAAATAAACTGAGAAAGGGAGATTTAAACATCAGATTCAATGCTAGGCATTTTCTTATACACACGTCTATTGCTGCAGGAGTTGAGGACCCTGGGGGTAGAGTATACAATATTATTATTTGCCACATAAGGCATCACATGCTCAGGAATGTATGTGTCGTTGTGGCCCCGGCTGTCCCTGGAACAGTAGGATGACGCTGTTGATCTTAGAGACGACCTCAAGTAGTTGTCATTCCTCACTTGGGAGGGTAACGAGTGTTTATAAGAGTCAGAGGGGCATCTCCCAATGACCAGCCGCTGGTCATCCTGGTAGGAGTGTAGGAAGGGGTTATCTGAGGAGTGGTCTGGGATGAGAGATTTGCTCCTTTTACTGTCTTCCAGTGCTTGAGAGAAAAGGGAGCCCTTGTTCCCTGACAGTTTGCTGGCGGGGACACTAAACAAGCTCCCATATAAATTCCCTTCCAAGAGTCTCTCCTTCTCCTTTAAGCTTATGCTCCGAGAGGGTCTTCCGAGGTCAACCTCCCTGGGCTTGTCCAGGATGTTGTCGTAAGAATGTTGCCGGCTAATCCTCAACTTATTCTTCTTTTGGAATTGAAGGGCGTTGTTCTGAACCCAGTCCTGCTCATACATCTCCTCAGGGTGGGCAGGGTTGGTTGTGGTTTCCTGCAGCATCTGGTCCTCATCAATATCGTAGAGGTTACCCATCCTCAGGCAGGAATCACATTTGTAGGGGGATCGGGTGGTGTAATGACCAGTGTAGCTGGGCAGGTTGGAGAGACAGCTCCTACAGTGGGTAGAGTTCTGCCGGTATCTGTCACTCCCCTCACTGAGGGGAGAGCTCTTTTCCTTCAAGGCGTAATGCTTGGAAAAGAGTTTATACTGGTCGTTGTTGGGGACGTTGCCATCTTCATTGTGCAAAGGCGTCCTGTTGACAGGAAGCGTAGCATCGCCCTTTTGATAGTTGTCATCGGGATCCTGGTACACCTCAGGGAAGTCCACATTCTCAGGAAGGACGAGGTTTTCAATAAACTGGGGTTGTTCTATGTGGAAGCTGGGCTCCTTTTCGGCATCAATGGTATAGATCTTGTCCCTGGGGGAACTTGCTTTGGTTTTCAGGTAGGTGAGCTCGACATCACTGCAGTCCTTGGGGTATTTGGAAGCCACAGACCTTTTTTTAAAATTGTCCTTGGTCTTGTGATGTTTGCTGTCGTTCTCAAGTTCCACGCGGCACACGGCCCGGCTTGAAGCTTCTGAGATGTCAGAGTGGGCCCCCTCTTCCGGGAGGTACCTGGGACTCTTCAGAGAGTGGGTTCTGTTCTCCACCAAGCCATTCTCCCGCTGTTGAGGGACTGGGTTCTGGCTCAGTGAATCTTGGCGCAAGGACTCCATGGACTTTTTCCAAAGTTGCCGAGGTCTAGAGTTCCCTTTGGACTCTGTGCTCACAGCAACCTCCACCGTGTTAGGATTGGACTCGTTCAAGGTGAGAGGATGCTGACCCTGGAAAACATAGTTATTGAGGTTGTCTTTATGCCTGTTGGCCACAAATGTCTGAAGTTCATTCATGTTGTCCCCAAAAACATTGTCTTTTCCGTGAAAAGATCTGTTATCGGAGTATATCAAATTCCCTTTATCTGGGGCCATATCCATGACGAGGGAGCCTCTTTGGATATAATCAGTTGTTCTTTTGGGGGAATTAATTCTGGAGGAGTTCAGGTTGGACATGTTAGAAATATTTTTCGCTGACCGTAAGAGTTTTAACATGTTGCTCTGGGAGCCGGTTAAATTAAAATCTGGTGACTTCTTTTTCTCCTCAATGTGCACTCCATGAATGCAGCTGTAAATGCCCTGTGAGTGAAAGAAAGTTGATTATTAGCGGCAGAAGAAGATTTGGAATCATTTCACAAAATTTACAATAAAGCTGTTTTCTACTTTACAGATGTACAAAATTGAGGTACCCCCTTGCCTCAATAGCTTCTTTCATGAGAAAAGCAAAGTCTTACTCTGAATATTGTACTTGTACCCAGTCAAAACTTTCTTTAAATGACTTATGAAGCCATCTGAACACCAGATCCATCTATCTATGATTGTCTAATGTATTTTCAAATAGCCACACATGACCAAC